AACTAGCTTATTTGTTAGGATTGGATCAGTAAACCATCATCTCACTGCATATTCTTTAGCAGGCTATGGTCTGAACGAGGCATTTTCCAAATCTGTAGCTCATCTTTATAAGAAAAAGTTTGGATCCACCAATGCAGATCTAGCTAATAGGAAGTTAGAACTTAAACATCCTTGCTTGCAATCTGGTTACAAGGAGCAGTACATCTGCTCTCATTGTTCTTCCAATAACAATGAAAGCGAAAGCCCTTTGATTAATGGAAAGAAGTTGGGTAAAAAAGGAGAGTCAGGAATCCCAGTGATGCTTATTGGTGCTCCAAATTGGCAAGAATGTAGTGCACTTGCAAAAATTGTTGTCAATTTGTCTGAATGGTCCAATCTCAGTCCAGGACTTGATTGTGAAGTGCATCCTTGTGCCCTTAGTGATAATCTGCCTCGCCCATACGGCCACTTTTATGTGATTTCTGGATTTTTTGTGGTGTACCGATTCTATAACCTGACTTCTGAAGCCACACTCGATGATGTATTGGAAAAGGGTAGGGATTTCTGTGAAAAGAGATGGGAGGTTGCAAAGAAAAGTGTTGCTCCGCAGCCTTTCATTGAGCAGTATTGCTTTAGGGCACCATATATTACATCCCTGCTCAGAGAGGGTTTGCATATCATGGATAACCACATAACTGTTGGCTCTGGGTCTATTACTTGGACACTAGGGGTTGCTTTGTTGGAAGCTGGGAAGGCTTTTTCCACTAGATTTGGGCTTCGTGGTTTTGACTTAATCCAGATGAAGATAAACCCTATTATTCTTATTCCCATTATGTTACTTTCTTTGATTCTCCTACTTTGCGCATTATCTTATGTTGGTAGTGGGATGCCAAGATTTTTCCGGAGGTCATCATATCTTCCCCTTTTCAGGCATAACAGTGTGTCCAGTGCATCTGTTCTTAATATCTCATCTCCTTTCCGATTTAGAAGGTGGAGTCCTATCAATTCTGGTAAGTTGTTTTCACAACTAATGACTTTTGATGATGCTTTATTCTAAGCTCATGGACTTCCCATTGCCTAAAAAATTATTTGTACCTAAATCTCTTGTTATTTTCTTGTGCTCTCGCAATGACAAGTACGTTTTAGATTTACGACTTCATTGATCTTTTCCCAAAATTCTTAGCAGTCTTATGGCCACCAATTATGGGGGAGGGAAGGAGCTAGGGAAAAGGGAAAACTAATCAGCTTCATGTCTTATGATTTAAATCTAACCAGCAATCATTAACTCCCTACCCCTTCATTAACATCCCTCCCTTCCCCTTCATTAACATCCCTCCCTTCCCCTTCATGGAACCAAGTGCATTCTAATAATAATGAGATGAAAGGATGTCTGTATGGTCTAGACATTCAAGTACTCTTATTGTTATAATTTATCGTTTTAAAAAAGCTAAAGTATATGTTTGGCCTCTAAGTTGCCTCAAATTTCAGTTTTGTCTCTTAAGTTTAGAAGTGTATTTTTAGTCTCGAAGTTTAAACACAGTTTCATTTAATGGAAAATACTGACTCTACAAATTTAAATAGTGATTCTACAGTTAAAAATGCTGACAAACCATGATCTAGATTTTAATTCTTTGATATAATCATTTTTATATTTTAAAATTTAAGCATTTAAAGAATTAAACGTATGATAAAATATTAAAAATTTAAGCATTTATAAAAATGATTACATTCAAAAATTAAAATTTAGAGCATGTTTTGTTAGTATTTAATTGCAAAGTTACCATTTAAATTTGTCAAGTCAGCATTTTCTATTAAATAAAACTAACAACCATTTACATTTGTTGAGTTAGCATTTTCCATTAAATGAAACTGACGATGTCAAGATTAAGGGATTTCACTTTTTAAATATAAGGGATTAAACTGAAACTTGATATAAACTTGGGGGGCCACACACATTTTAGTCTCAAAAAATTTGCATGGCTGTAAGCGTTGCTCAAAGAATTACCTAGGTCAAGAACCCATGTTTAACGCTATTTAGTCTTTCTTTTTCTTTAGCCATATCATTGCCTAGCTCTAATGCCAGTTGGTACACAAGAACAAAAATAAACACTGCTTGAAAATTTGATTCTCCACATGGGCCCTAAACACTGTAGGAGCGATGCTTTGATTTTGAAACTCTATTCTGGAATATTCCTAAGCTCTCTTGTGCTAATGTGGCATACACTGGACAATTGTGTCCTAGAAATTTAAATTTCAAACTCATTTACTTTACTAATTGAATGGAGTTTGCACGTTTGGATTTATTATGAAGTAACCATCACAACAACAACAAGCCTTATCCCACTAGGTAGGGTCGGCTATATGAATCACACGATGCCATCGTGCTCTGTCAACAACCCAGTCCTTAGATATGTTGTTGACTAGGAGGTCTCGTTCAATGGTCTCATTAAGCGTTCTTCTCGGTCTTCCTCTGCTTCTTTTTATGGGACTCCATCTTGTTTGATCCACCCTCCTCACCGGGGCCTCCAATGGCCTTCTCTGCACATGTCCAAACCATCTTAACCGATTTTCAACCATTTTCTCTTAGATAGGTGCTACACCGACTCTTGTCCTGATATTTTCATTTCGAATCCTATCTTTTCTTGTATGACCACACATCTATCTCAGCATCCTCATTTCTGCTACCCCGACTTATTATTTAACTAAATTAATTATTGCATAATGTGAACTTCTATACTATAAGTATGCACCTATTTTTTTCCTCATCTTTGGATAGGATAGTATTTAGGAAGTGTTGGTCTATTATTGCTGTAAGATACCAAAGGGTCTTCTTTACTACTCGATTTAGTATGACGGCTTGCATGCTATAATGGCCTGCCAAGTGGTAGATTTATGTATATATAATTGGCATTCTATGCTAACATTGTCAACTTGCTTTAGTTGTCAAGATTATGGATTGTTTACCATATCTGTAAATTATGCTCGGTTGCAGTTTATAAGTTACTAACTTTATATTTTTGGATGGTTTAAAACGTTTGACTTTGTGTAAGTAATTCCATTTTACGATTTTCTCAACATGTTTCTTTTATGGCTGAGCTGAGTCCAATTTATCTCGTATTGCAGGGGATGGAAGAGTTAAGATGCCACTTAGCCCAACAGTTGCGGGGGCACAGGAAAGACCATTTGGCTTGGGGCCGAGCCTCGGTGATGGCAGCACTGGCATCCAACTTATGGAAGCTTCCTTGTACCCTTCAGCCAGCAATGTCTCACGTAGTTATTCGTCAAATAATTTAGGGCAGATGCAATTTGACAGCAGTAATATGGGTGCCTTCTGGACTCCTCACAGAAGTCAGATGCGTCTGCAGAGTAGGAGATCACAATCTCGAGAAGACCTTATTTCCTCGATGGCTGAGGCAGACGGCAGTAATATGGGTGCCTTCTGGTCTCCTCACAGAAGTCAGATGCGTCTCCAGAGTAGGAGATCGCAGTCTCGAGAAGACCTTAATTCCTCAGTGGCTGAGACACACTTGGTGAAGGTTTAGAGCATCATCTTTAGGGAACTTTGGTATGACCACACTATATCTTATCTAAACTTACTCTTTTTCATAGTAAAATCCTTTTTTCTTCTTGAGTTTTGCTCCCTCATTCAAAATAGGCATTCTTTTTGTATCATAAGAATTGGTTAAAGGTAATTAATAGTTAGCCAAATTAATGCTCTCTTTCGTGATTCTTCTTTCTATATTCTGCCAGAGTTGCTTAAAGTTCCTTACTAAATAAAATATTCACTCTTCCCTTAATCTTTTATAGCCTGAACTGCTCTTGTACTGCCGTAGCAGAAATTTTTCTGGGCATTGAGTTTCTTACATGTCATTGATTGTGATCAAAAGGTGTTCCTGGTCTATGTCCCTTCTCTTATTTGGTAACAATTCATGCTACTGCGAATTGGAATATTTATCTTGGGAAAATTCTCAGTGACCTCTGTTCTTTCTCCTAACCCTCCTCACGCATTGCAAAGCAAGTTTACATGTCCTAGCATTTCAGAAATCGTGTCATTAAGGTAACTATGGAGCTAAAATTGAGCTGGTACAATCATTTCATTCCAAGAGAATGAGCTGTCTGCTCTAAAATAACAAGAAGCCTTGTCCTGTTACAAAAATATTACGGACTATAGCTCAGTCGAGTTATTTGTACGACACGTTTGCGTTACATAGAACAAACTCCCATTTGACGAATGGGGGTGGGACTTTGTTTTGGATGAGGGTTTCTTCATTCCCCTCTGAGGCTTTGAACAATGAAGACAAGGTTGGAGGAGATGAAGCCGAAGAAAGTCTGAATATGAGAAAACCATTGTTTGTGTTTTGATAAGGTACAAAATCTCAAAAGTTATGTCCTCAATACATGCCTGTGTGAGCTATTTTTCTATAGGTATATATACGTAGAACAAGCGTGTCACAAGTTAAACGTCATAGTTGCAATGGGTTTTCACTCCTAAGAACGCAAGTTTAACTTTTGTGTTTGCCCTTCCTTGGTCTGATGTGTGCTTTGAGTGTCTATATTGATAGAATTTCTTTCAAGGCGGGGAAATTTGTTGCCAACTCGGTCGTGTATAAGTTTCATATACTTTCGTTTTGATAAATGACAAGCAAATAAAGAAAATGATTGGAATCGATGAAGGATTGATTAACCATGTAAGTTATGGAATTTAGCTGGGAAAACTCATTAATTACTCCTAAATAAAGTAACTCATTCTTCATTAAAAAAAATTAAAACAAACGAGCTAAAAAAAATCCTTTAATTTTTCATTTCTTTTTTAAGTATGTAAATCATAGAATTTGTTATTTCTTTCATATATTATATGGCATTTCAATAAACGAAATTAAAATACATTAATTTCATTATGATCCTAAGAACTAGTGCTTTGACCAATTATCAATCAGGTTTGTTTTTCAATGAAAACTTTCCATACCATTGACATTTGACAGCCACATCCAATTCCTGCATCACTGAGATAATCTTTGGGATGCAATATCCAAACCAAAATCTATATCTCATTATAAAAAGAAAAAATGGGGGGAAATCCTACAAAATTGTATGACCTTTATGGGGTTGAATACAATATTTCATCACATCGACTATTTCAATACTCCATTCAAAATTGAAAAAGAAGCTGTTGAGTGTTGACCATCTCGCCATTTTAAGTAGAGGAAAAAAGAAAACAAAGAACAAGGACCTTGTCTAAGAATTATCTGATTCCTCTAACAAATTCTCACTTGATGTTGAATTTAGAACAGATCGGTAATTAAGAGATTGTAGGAAATTGAAATAAGCATACTTGATGTCAAATTGCATATCATACCCTGCAAAAAGTAGATAATAATGCATCAGACCTCCCGGTAAACACTGGATAATTACCAATTAGAAACTCGAGAGAAAATATCTTATCCTTACAATAATTTACAGCAATAGTGCATCCTCTATCATCTGGACTCTGCCTCACATGATGGAACCACATACTTGGCCTGCATTAATACCATCATATCAGCGCAATCATTCATAATGATCCAACAACAATAATTAAAAAACAAGTCTTAACTCACTAGATGGGGTTGACACATGCATAAAGAAAAATCCCCTTAACAAATGGAGCAGCATATGCTATGAAAAGATAAGATAGAATGTTAACTTTTGGTTGACTGACTGAATTCTCAGCTATGGTGGTAGATCTCATTGTTCACTTCAATATTTAGCCATCTTCCAAGATGATGATGATGATGATAATTACCAAATATTCAAATAAAGCATGAAGCCCAAGTTCAATGAGAGCTTTAATAGAGATTTTTACGTTGGTGTTGAAGCTTAAAAGGGAAATACTTGACTTGTGCTTGATCATGCCATGCGCTTCAACATTTTTTTTGGGGGCAATGACACCATCAATTCAATAAATGAAATAACAGAAAGGTGAAAATGCATGAATTGCTAGGAACCTAACACGGATTTAAAAACTGACACTAGGCAAGCACAAGCACGCTAGAATAACTTGCAGTTCTAATGGATAGGTGATTCCAACTACATCAATCAAATGTAACTTCAACTGAGTAATATGTAACATCATAACAAACATTTCTAAGACTAAAGTACAGAAGCCACTTCTGTCATAGGTTTATCATGTCAATACTCCACTTCAGAATCCAACTCTTGGATTTTGAAAGGTGATACTAAATCATCAACACATGGAACCGGGAAATACAAGTCTATAGTCCCAGAAGAAAAATTTAAGCATGAAAGATGCCATATTTAACAGGCCTTTACATAAGGGATTAGAATAGGTCCAAATTTATTCACAGCACACTTCACTTGCAACATGGCTCCGTAAGTCTCTTCAATCAAAACTTCATTTACCATAAAATTTCTCGGGAATTCATTAGGCAATGATGCAGTAGAAGATGTTTCTTCTGCAACATCCCTGCTGGCGAATTTGGTTTCCAGGGTAAGCCCTAGGAGGCATAACCTTGGGGTTGCACGTTCAAATGCCAGTAGCATAATCCCTGCTTATCTAATCTAAATCTATTCCAGGTTAGCCGCTCATGGGGTGGCATGTAACTGAGGGTGCACTTTGCACTGGTGCATTTTCTACATAGACCACGCAGAACCCATGGCTAAGGCTCAACTGATATAAGGACGCAGTTTAATACCTAAAAAACAAAGCTTACGCTCTATTAAGCATATCTAGCAAAATTAAGGAGATTAAAACACAATGGAAGCTTACAAGTAGAGAATCTCGCCAGCCTTGACCGTGCACTGTAATGGCTCAGGGCCATTGAAATACAATGGGAACGTGGACATTTCATCATCCTTGGTCTCTGGAGAAGGACAAGGATTCACACTGCACCAAGGAACATATCTTGTTGGCTTCTCAAGTTCTAAAGTGAACTCTCCAGTATCCTACGACTCATAACAGCAGCACCATTAAAAAGTTATTCAAATTTCAAAACATAGTTAACCAATAAGAAGAAACATGTTTACCCAAGAATATCTATACTGAGAAGCGGGGTATTCTCGAATGTACATGCGGTGAACATCAGAGGGGGGCAACAGCAGAAAATGCTTCTCCCCAGTGACCACAGCATAGAGATTCTCATAGTGATCCTTGTGAAACGAAGTCTGGGAGTGCTGATTACCAATCCAGAGATTGACAGCTTCAGGAACACAACCAAGAGCATCAGTGGCCCAGGGAATATGGGGATCACAATCGTCAGCCAGAGCCGAATACTCAGACCGAAAACAGTCGTTCTGCTGCTGCGCATAGGCTACAAATCTTAGGTTTGAAGAACAATCACCACTTCCAGAAGGAACGAGAGAAAGTGCTTTAGGGAAAGGCATGCGTTCAACGTGTGCAGAGGCAAAGCAGAGCGAAGAGGATGAAGCAGTGGCTTCAGGGGAAAAGGAAGATGCAGAAAGAGGCGGAGCACCCTGGTGCTCGTAATTATCCAGAGGGACAAGGGCATCAGCACATCCATTGGGGGTGAGGTGGAGGGAGACAAATGAGGAGGAAAGGACACGCGTGAGATAGGAGTGGTCGGTCCAGGAACAAAGGGCAGGCCAGTGGTTAATGGCATTGGAGATGATGCAGGGCTTGTTGGGGGAGACGAATCCTCTGAGGAATTGAAGTGGAGTAGGAGGGGATTCTAGCCTCTCAACTCTGGAAGAGTTTCCCAAGCTCAGATCCCTCACTTCGTTCCACAGGGCCTCAATCTCCTTCATGTAAAATGGATTTACCGAGACCTCAAAGTTTGAGTCCTTACGGGTAATCAGCTGTGGATCAGTGTGTCCAAGCCTGGCCGCTGCACTCTGGAGGACGCGGCTTCTCTCATTTTCCCTTGCCATCCGACGCGCGCCGTCCTTTACCTTTAATACTGCGCCGTTTTGTCCAGGAGGGCTAGTCCGACTGGTTTGATAAAAGGAAGGCAAGGCGTCGCGTATCCACCATGTTTTGGGCTCGAATCCTGGAAAATCTCTGGGGATGACTCCAGATTAGTCTATATCCTTTGGATGTGGAATACGGGAAGGAAAAATCTAAAAAAAAAAATACTGCGCCGTTTTTAGTGAAAGCAAGGGGGTGAGTGCTTTTTTTTTTTAATTAAAAAAAATCTAATACCTTACAAAAAACTCAGTGCCATTTTCTATCCTAATATTTTTTTCGGCAGCACTCAATATTTAACACCCAGCATTTTAAGATATTTCTTTGGAGCACTCAATATTGCAAAATAATTTTTGGTCCACTCAGTAGGTTAAAATACTTTTCAGTAACACCTTTTATGCAATATCCAACATGTTGCGGTATTTTTTTTAGTAGTATTAAGTATCTTGAATCCCGGGAACCCAACTCATCTAAATTTTTCTATACAAAAAAAAAATATCTTGAACTAAATTTTAGTGAACATAATATATTATATGAAAAATTACTTCAAGATATTAAATGCTATTAAAAAATGTTTTAGAGTGTTGGATATGCTAAATATTAATTTATGATATTTGGTGTTATTAGAAAAATACTTTAATACGAGGGATGTCAAATACTGGGTATTACTAAAAAAAATTTAAGATATTAGATCATATTAAAAAATATTTAGGATACTAAGAGTTAGATATTGAGCACTATTAGAAAAATATTTTAGAGTGACAAGTGAATTAAAAATTCATTTAGGATACTCAACAATACTGAAAAATATTTTATGGCAGTGAATTATTTTAAAAATAAAAAAGCACCCCCTTTCTCTTGTTTTTCACTCAAAATGCTGCAGCTTTGAGGGTAGAGGAAAGCAGCGGATGGTAGGGGAAAAGGAGAGAAGCCGCATCTTATGCCCTCGAGGCAAAAAACTTTCGTTCTGCTGTTCCCGCATCCCATGCATGACCCTAAAATTCATGGTGAGTAGGAAATTAAAGAGTAGTCTAAGAAGAATCCACAAACATTAAAGTGCAGTTCCTGAAAAATATATAAACTAAGCAACCTTTCTATCATTGGACAAGTGTATTTAGCTTAGTGAATAACCAAACAATCCAACCCTTTCCTAAAGTTTCAAAATAAAGGACAAGTAAGCATTCAAGATTAAAAATCTCACACACAATTTTCATGCCATTTCAAACAAAAAAAAAGCCAAAATAAGAGCTTTGAGATAAAAATGAAAGCTCAAACCCTGTATCAATTTATCAAAATTTCTCCCTCATCCCTACACTTAAAATGGACATTGTTCTCAACGTCTAAACAAGAACAATAGGAGAATGAAAAGGCATGTACTATTTACAGCCAAGGTTATCAACAAAAGAATAGTAATATGGATCATGTCAAAACAACTATAAGTATTGGAGAGGGGAACGAAACACGCACTATAAGGGTGCAAAAACTCTCCCTGGAACCATGGATTTGAAACTAGGAGTTTGCTGCTGTACCTTTAGATAATTACGAGCTAGATGTCCAAACTTATGGCATCTGTAGCATTCCCAACATGATCTTGTATGATTTCTCCCACATCTCAAGCAAGGACCACTAACATTTGGTGTGGATCTAGCATGCTCATGGTGGACACTCTGATTTCCTCCTATACAGTTCCCTTGAGCCTGTCTTCTTTGCATAAAGCCTCTAAGGGCTGAATTCTTTTGATTTTGGCTCTTGCCTCTGCTTGAGCTACCCGTGCTCCCATAACTAAAACTACTCTTTTTATTGATTCCTCCCATTGGCCTCATAAAACTAGAGAATATACTTTGGTTATCTTGACATCAGCTCTCCTCTACTTCTTGGGTTCTACAGGCCGTCATCTTGAGTTTCGTGCAGGCATTCTCAAAATTCTTAAACTCATATAAGGCCATTTGCTGCTTCAACTCTAGCCTCACCCGTTCTATTAATTGTCGGGCCATCCACTTTAGGTTATTTTTCTGTTGCAAGTAGGTAACATGCTTGAAGAGGTCAATATATTTGGCAATAAGCTCATCCTCATGCATGTTCTCCTGTCGAAGAGCGTAAAAAGCCGTTCTTTTTCTTGTCTCATAGTTGGGGGAAAGTACTAATCAAAGAACATCTGCTTAAATTTGTTCCAAGTAATCCCCAAGTCATCTATGTCACTTACGCTCCTCCACCACCTCTTAGCTCGGTCCGTCAATAAGACCACTGCCGCTTGTACTTTCTGATAGGTATTACATCCATAAGCTTTGAATACTGTCTCCATGTCATCAATCCAAGCCTCAACTTTATCAGGATCCATAGTGATGCGGCTCTATGTCTTTCTACATACTCTTAAGGTTCACAGTCTCCTCTTTTTCTTGTCACCCTCGCGAGCTACTTTCTTCTCTGATTCCTTTAATAGAACCATTGCGGGTTCCAAAATTATCCACAGACAACTCAGGAAGCCTACTCTCAAGTCTTCCACAACTTTCTTGCTTCTCAAGTCTTCCTCTAGCTTCCTTACCTTCTCATCTACCACCGTAACTACCGCTTCTCTTAACTATTGTAATAAGGTCTTTTGATTAAACTATAGAGGATTTGGTGATTGATTAGACAGGTTTGTGGATTCATCCCCACCCTTATTGGTTTGTCGAGATCGTGTCCGTATCATCCTCCCCACCTAAGGATGGAACCCACCAAAAAGAAACAAAAAAGTAACATCAAGCACAAACATAAAGTAACAGGGAAGGTTATGTGAGATTATTGTATATTGCCACTAAATGTAATGTAATGCAACCTAATTCACAAAATCTTTGGCTTTAATACCAAATTGTGATGAACGTTTATTCAAAACCTATTTAGATTAAATCAAACAATTTATTTGAAAGATTAACCATGATTAAAAAAAACCTTAAAATTATAAAATTACTATCATGGTTAAAAGAAATAAGCTTATATTATGAGCAATATTAATCATTAATTTGGGCCTTGGATTTTCAAAGTCTAGAAATATTATTCAACCATGAGCCCAAACTAAATTCATATTTTCAAACATACAAACTGATAAATCATTTTAATATAAAGGGCTAATACTATTTTTAGTCCTTAGAGTTTAATCTTATTTTGGTTTTGGTCCCTGAAATTTGAAACAAGTGTTTTTGGTCCTTCAAGTTTACTCTGTTTAAAAACGTTGGTCCCCATAATTTGAAAAGGACTTGGAGTTATTGTTTACAGTGTTAAGTTGCTTATGTGGCACCAACGGTGTTAAGTTTGTATATTTAGAGAGCTGCTGTGGTTGGTGACATGGCAAAATTGCTGACTAAACTAATAAATTACCTGAAATTGTTATTAAAAGACAAAAATTTCAAAACGCAAGCACGGACGGACCTGAGAAAGCAACTGAAGGAAAAGGAAAAAGGGCTTAGGTTAGGTTGACCCATTCATCGGAGAAGTTTGACGGCGGTCATTGGTAGTCAAATTGTCGGCGATCATACGTTGTTCAGTTTTTGTGTGCTCTTTTTTTCTTACTGGTTTTTGTAATGCTCAATAGCTTGGTTTTTGATATTTGCAAAGATAAATTTCAAGAGATGGCAGCTTTAGTAGGTGATAAATTGTGCTGTCATAGCTACCTGCTTCCACACATATATTAATGTTGTTAACTTTCTGTTTACAGACTTTAGCTGAACTAAAATTGGAGGACAGTGTGTTGTTAAGGGAACAGAGAAATATGAAAAGTACCGTAATTGCTTTTTGGCTAATTGTTGTTGCTTGAGTCCTTGATCCATCTGATTGGAGCTATTTATTATGTGTTGTTTATTGTTACTGTTGTGACTTCTGAACAGAAATTGGCATCCCTACGTCTTACTCTAGAGAAACACAGGGCAACAAGTGAACGCCTAAAGAAATTGAAGGTGACATTCATGTTCTTCTTTTTTGATTAAATACAATGATTTTTTGTTCTCTCTGATGCATTTTCATGTTTGTTTGAACCTATTGGGAAATATAGATCAAAGTGAATGCATGATAGATTCTCCCCTTATTTTGTGTTTGATTGGTGTAAGAGTACAATATATTAGAATTAGAAGAATAGGAGATTGATAAAGAAGCTTCAGCTTCCTTCGTGCTGCCATGTGGGCCATGTCTTAAATCATAAAAATATGATGCAACGTGCTATTACCATGCAAATTCTCTCAATTATTGTAATGGCCTTTAATTCTCTCAATCTGTAGACTGACTACTGTAGAAAGTATATTTAGAAAGAGTAACACCAGAGTATGATTATACTTCTACGTAAAACTCATGTCTCATGATTAAGCAAAGGTTTTTTTTTTTTGCCTTTTAACATCTCTCTGCATTGTTTACATTCATTTTGTGAATGTGGATGATCTCAACAAAAATCGAATCCCATCAATCAATGAGCTAAATAAAACATCATAGAGGAAAAAATTCATGCAATAAAAAAGGCAACAACATCCATGTTGAGCATAGATGCATGCCACTGAACCTGACAAAGCTTTTCAAAATAATTTGGAGGATATTGTGCCATAAAGTCATAAGAAGACGACAATATATATCAGTTTGAGAAGCTCCAGCATCTTCAAACTTTTTAACTGAAAATGCTATCCAAACTGATTTTCTCCAATTTAACTTCATATTTTTCCAATTTGGATAGTCAATTCAAGCAGTGTAGATGCCCAAAAGTCAGAAAAACTTCATAGACTTCTGGTTTGATTTTCAAAACTTTGTATCTCATTTCTGCTAGCTTATACTGCTTCTGTGCCCATTCATATGCATCATTAATACTTCCAAAACAAGATTCTCTTGACACCTCCTCTGAAATGGAAGCACGTCTCCTCGCCTTAGACATGGGAACACCCCCCAAGTGAAACATTGCT